TCACATCCAGCTGCCCTTAAACCCCAGCCCCAAACTGCTCTGTGAAGTTGGTAATATCACTTCCATTTTATAAAGGAGGAAAGGCAGATACAAAGAGGTTGAAGGTTGTCCAGGATTCCATTACTTGCAGTAACAACACTAGAACTCATACTCACATACCATTTTCCTAACATGAGCTTCCAAATATGCAGTACTGGGAAATCACACCCAGGGCTTCATACATGTCAGGCAAGCACAAAGTACATCTCTACCCCCTAATACCTTTTAATAAAACACTTCTTTATGCTTTTCTTGTTCTAGTACTCCACCACAAATGACTTTGCTGACCTTTGCTTTGTCCTGCCAGTCCTTTCCTCTCCTCTCCCCAAGTCCTACATGTGAGAATCCTGCATGGCTCTTTCCTTTCTTAGTGACCTCATTTTCCTCTACAGCTCCTACTACCAGCTACTTACGTGGAAATTACTAATGACCTGCTCCAATAGTCTAAAATTTCTAAGACTGTCAGCACTAATAATATTTGTGTAAGTTTTGTTCAATGATTTAAGTCTGCCCCTATGCCTGATACCACCCAATAGAGCGATGTTAACTAAATGTCCCAGAGGCACCTCAATTATATCTAAACTTAAAGTTGCTTACCTCTAACAATTCTCCCTCCCCCATCCTCATTTAGTAATGGGGATCAAACCCCGGGGTGCTTTCCCACTAAGCTACAACTCCAGCCCCCTTTTTTTTTTTTCTTTTGAGACAGGTTTTTGTTAAATTGTTGAGGCTGGCTCAGATTACAGGCAAAGACCACCACACTCGGCTACCCCACTGAGACTCCTTTGTTTTTTTTTTTTTTTTCCTTTTTTTTAGTACCAGGGATTAAAACCAGGGGTGCTTAACTACTGAGCCACATTCTCCAGCCCTTTTTTATTTCTTCAATTTTGAGACAGGGTCTTGCTAAGTTGCTTAGGGCCTTGCTAAATTTCTGAGGCTGGCTTTGAACTTGCAATCCTCCTGCCTCAGCCTCCTGAGTTACTGAGATTATAGGTGTGTGCCACCATGCCTGGCTCAGTCCTTTTTTTCAGTCAAAAATAATTTTTTTTTTATATTGAGGCAGGCCTTACTTAGTTGCTGAGGGTATCATTAAGTTCCTGAGGCTGGCCTTGAACTTGTGACCCTCCTGCTTCAACCCCAAAAGTTAGTGGGATTACAGGTGTGTGCCACCACGCCCAACATTATGTAGTCTTTTTTTCTTTCTTTTTTAAATATTTTTTTCAGTTGTTGATGGACCTTTATTTTATTTACTTATATGTGGTGCTAAGAATTGAACCCAGTGCCTCACCTGAGCCACAACCCCAGCCCTACCTAGTATTTCTTGACTGCCTATTATTAGTAGGTAAAGTGGACTAGGAACAGTTCTAGGTAGTACACACACAGCAAAGAATGAGACAAAGCCCTTCCCTCACAGAGCTCTCATTCTGTGCTCCTAATAGGTAAAGTGGGACCATTTGGTTTACAAATGGGGAGACTGAGATTCAGAGAGGTAATCAGGCCTTGGAGCTGGATTTGAATCCACATGCTTAGTGGGCTTTGGGTTATACTATAAATTGCTGTGGGGTATATTCCTAGTTCTCTTGTCCTGTGTACCTTTCCCTCCAGTGTTCCAGGCTGCTCTTTCTGATGCATCCTTTATTTCTAGAAAGCCATCTGTGTCTTGGAGATGGAGAATGGCTACTGGTGGTGCAGAAGGAAGAAGCAACGGGCAGGTGTGCTACTGAAAGTTGGCACCAGGCCAGATGGCACCCCTGATGAACGCTGGTGCTTCAGGTAAGTGAAGTGGGTAGGGAAGGGTGGGGGCCTTGCTAATCCAGCAATCCGTAGGGCCCACTAGCAGTGCAGGCCAGTCTTACTCTCCTAAAAGCCAGGAGACAGCTGCCAGTAGTCAGGTCTGGTGGGAGAGGCAAGGCCCAGGAGTGCCAAGGGATTGCATCTGGGCAGGTTGGATCAGGGATGCTGAATCTCACAATCCCCAGATTGCTACTGCCTGTGGTTCTGCCTATTTGGCCGTCTGCTTTTCCTAGTGTCTTAAACTGAAGGTCCTTCCCTGGCGACCCCTCACCCCAGCCAGAGTGTGCTGGGGTTACAAGCACACTAGCCTTCCCCAGCTGGGCTGCTCCTCCAATTTTCTCAGCCTGATCTTGAAGATGTAATCCTTAAAATGGAGAACAAGCCCTTCCATACTCAGGGAAGCCTGGAGCATCTGGAGAGGGAACCTGGAGACAAATGCATAGCATGAGGCAGCCGTTGAATGGGGGTATAGGATGAAGGGTTTATGTCTGAGAAGCAGCCACAAAAAGGCCCCAGAATCCAGAGCACAAAGACACACCTGATCTCAATTCCTCTTTAGTTGCTCTGTGCAACCCAGGCTGCTGCGAATAGGTGGAAAGGAGGGATGGATACCTGTTCCTCCACGCAGGCACCTGGCTCTGGGGACTTAGTCTAGTAGCTACAAGGGCTGTGCTCCTGGGGCGATGTGAGTGCCTTGTGGGAGAAGGGTAGAGAAATCTCATTCTCCTCACTATCCCTGGGTCCATGAGAGTTTCTTCATAGTTCACCCACTTGGGGGTTCAGCCCCTCTCTGGGACAAAGCAGCCTGGACCACTGTATTCCCAGAGCTCTCTGTTGCCTGCAGGGTGGAGGAAGTGAACTGGGCTTCGTGGGAGCAGACACTCTCCACAGTGCGTGAGGAACCATCGGAAGGCAATGCCCCTGGTGAGTAGATGTGGGGCTGGAGCCCCTGCCCTGGGGCAGGTGCACATGTGTGCATCTTCTGGGCCTCACAGCCTTGGAGGGTCTGGGTTGGGACCCTGAGGCCTCCTCCATGGCTGCTCTGCAGCTGCACTCCAGGCCTGCTCCTGCCACAGGGCTTGCCCCCTGAAAATGGTACGTCTCCTCCTTTCTTCTCCACTTCAACTCACCTGCTGACCTGTTTTCAGGGAGTCACCTGGGGAGCTCTTAGTGATTCCTCCAGCCCAGCCTTCTCCCTGCCTCACTCCCATTTTCTCTTCTTGTTGGGGTTGTAATTTGCCCATCCAGTTGGTTATTAAGGATCTGCTCCCTGTCATGCTTGGGTACAGCCTGGGGGCCCAGCAGGGGCACAAGTTAGGAAGAGCACAGATGGCATCTCTCTGGGCTCTTGGGGCACTTTCTAGTATGGCAGGACAGCTTTGGTGAGCTTTCCCCTACTACCTAAGCCTCCATCCCCTTTTACCCCAACCCCTTCACATCCTGGGAGAAGCCATTCCCTTTCCCTCACCTCATGTCTGTGGTCTTCATCCTCCCCGTTGGCATAGGATGGTTCCTCTGGTTCCCACCTGGCTGACTCAACACCGAGATGGACTGTTTCCTTCCACCTCAGAGGCCTATTCTGAGGATTAACTCTCTACATCCTGTGCCTTCTTTCTGGAACTTTCAAGAGCTCTCACCTTGTCTTCTGTTGGCTCATCTTCTCTCCTTTCTCCTTTTCTTTTCTGAAGAATGTCACCCGCTTGTGCCTGTGGCCCCAGCCCCCTCATCCCAAACAGCTTCCCTGAGTCTCTCATGAGCCTTGTAGGGAGGCTCTGCTGGTTTCCCGGCTCCTGGCCCTCACATGCCATTAGGTTTCCTTTCTACCCTCTCTTTGCACCGCCCTTCTTTTACTTCAATACTGAGACTTTGAGAGTCATCTTGGCCTTCATTTTGCCCCCAACATTCCACACCTGTCTGTTCTCAATGCAAACTTGACATTCTCAACAGGAATAGCCTTGGGACTACCTTATTGGGCACACTCTCCACACCCAGGTGGGAGGCCTTGAAGGTCTCTGCCCATTCTCCCCTACATTCACCTGGAGTCCTTGATCTTTCAGGCAGCAGCTCACCCCTGTGCCTCTGCCTCTCATTTACCCTGCTTCTGCATGGGTGGCCCATCCTACAACCTGACATTCAGACAAGTCTTTCTGCTTCAGGTTTATTGCATGCTTTTTCTACTAATGTAGACAAAACTCCCCATAGCCCATAATACACAATACCTCCCACAGTCTGGAGGCCACACTCTTCAATATTGAGGTCAAGGTCCATTCCCCCACACCTCTGTCCACGTGGCAGCCACTTGAGTCGCAGCACTCCTTGTTCTCTGGTTCACTTGGACATGTCTCTATGGGAAGTGTTCGTCTGCCCCTCTGGATGTCCAAACCCATCATCATTCCAACATAATGTGTCTCCTCTCTCCTCTGAGCTCTCTAAGCTCCTAAACCATTTCTGTTCTGCTTGTTAGCATGTCTCACATGTTCTGTTTTTTGAAACATGGCCTGTGACCTCAAGGGACTTTAAGCTTCTGGGGGTGTGTGGGGGGGTGATTCCTGACTGGCATATGACAGGGGTTCAGGAAATGCTTATGGAAGTAAGGAGGCAGGGAGAGGGACTGTCCCTAGGGTGTGATGGGCTTTCATGAAACGCTGAGATCCCTTCCCATTCCTGGCACCTGCCTCCTGAGGATATACCCAGTGGTGAAGCCACAGTGTTCCCTATTCTGTTTTACAGGTTCCATGAAGAACCCCATTCTGGCTTCCCAACCTGGGGAGGATCATGCCTCAAAGGAAGACCATCTTCCTCTTCAGGTGCTTCAGTCTCACTGATGGTCCATATGCAGGAGGCCAGCAGGATAGAGTGAAGAATCTTTCCAGCCACACATGCTTGCTCTGGGGATCTTTAATTTTCTTGGCAAATAAATATATATATATATATATATATTTTTTTTTTTTTTTTCACAACCAACTCTACTGGTTTGAGCAACGTTGCTGGGGACCTTTGGTTTAGTAATATCTGCATGTCTCTTTCTGCCCCTGGATATAGGGTTAGACTGATCCCACTTTTTCTTGGGATCAGTCTAGCCCAGAAACCCTTAGCTACTCCCTTCTGCCCTCAGTCCTGGGATTGTCCTCTTCTTTGGGGCAAGCTACTGGCTGAGGTTCTGTGCCTGCTGTCATGGCAGCCACACACATCCCCCTTCCTCTACCAGATACCCATTAAATCCACTTCTAAGATGTCTAACAGTCTCCTTTGAGCTCTCTGGTTTAGTTCAGGCTCTGAATTACTGCTTTCTCACCCACTTGAACTTCGTGCTCAATTTTATTCCTTAGATATTCCTAAGACCCAAGACAAACATGTCATCCCTGAACTTTGTAGGCCTGAGAGGTTCCCAGGGTATAGAGAGTGTTGTCACAGGAATCCTCAGCCTTCCACGACTTTGCCTATGCATTTCCAGACACATCTTTCCTTATATTCCTGCTGCCTGCTGGAGAATGTGGTGAAAAATCAATTTTCACTGAATTTTTCATGCTGGTTGAGGGACCTTGTGTTTGACCCCTTGACTTGGCCGTTGCTAGAAGTCTCCCTCTCTCTGCCCCTCTCCATTAAAACCCTATACTTATTTCTGAGATTAGCTTAAAAGTGCTGTCTCATGATTGCCTCTGCAGTTCTTTCTGTTATGCTTGAATTCTGGACCCCCAAAAGACCACCAGAGACCCAAGATCGATGTAAACAGCAAAGAGGTGTTCTGAGAGGCCCCGAGCCCAGGGTTTGCAGCAGTTTTATACATTCTTTGGAGAAGGCAGGGACCCCCACGTACATCATAGCATCTCTTAGCAAATCATCACACATCGCGGGAAAATCAAATAACAACTCTAAAACATGATTAGCACATTCACTGGTGGAAACAAGTTGGGTAGGGGTGATTGGTTACTATAAGAGGGGGATTTATTTGAACTGATTGGTTTAAGTCAAGAAGGGTGTTTGTGCTGAACTACATGGTTTCCCAACACCATAAACTACTGGGAGGGTCATCTGGCATCCCAGATATTTCCATGTCTCATGCTGATTGGTGGCTGCTAGGGGGTTGCTATGGGTCCCCTCCTAGCCTGACTGAGTCAGGGACACCTGGTGCAGCAGATCTCTCCTGTTATTTGTAGATAAACAACTTAGCAGGGTGGGAATGTGCCTAGGAGTGCTCTGTGGGTCTTTCCAAGGACAAAGGTCATGTCCCTTCCTTGGACAAGGCTTTGCTCTGAGGTAGAGTCTGGTTTTTCATTTCCAGTCAAAATAAATATAGTTCTCCCTTGGTATAGTTTGTGTACAAAATGGGTGTACAGGGGAGTGATTTTTTTTTTTTTTTTTTTTAAGATCAACTCCCGGGTCTCATGCATGCTAGAGTGTTCTACTAGAGCTACATCCAGAGTCCTGGAACCAAATACTTTTTAAATAGGGGAAAAACGAACCCATTCATACACTGAAAGTAAAGTATCCGCAGAGGGAGAGTTTTCCATTGCCCACGTGATAGGATCTGGATGAAGGAATCATGAAGGGGCGGGAAGGAAAGATCTTCATGGCAAAGGGCAGGAAGGATGGATCCAGATTCCTCTGCTTGCTCCCTAAAGGTCATCCTAAAAGAGGAGTGATGAGGGCTGTCAGTGCTTTGAGACGCTCCGACAGACCGGCCTGCTTATTAGATTGAAGAGCAGCTATTAATTCTGAACTTGCAGTATGCCCTGGCCCTGCCGTTTCAAGGGATGTTATTTCATGTGGTATTCAGAACTACATTGTGGGGCGATCGTGTCTTCATTTTCCACACGAACAGTTTTGACCTCACAAGGGATGAGTAATTTGCTCAAGACCACATAGCTAAAGAGGAGCCATACAAGACTTCAGCCCCGGGAACTAGGCTCGGAATCCGCCCTTCAACCTCCAAGCAGGCGCAGCGCGCGGCGTTACCCAGAATTCTCCGCGCCGCGGAAGAGACCACTAGCTCAATGTTCCGGGGGGGAGTTCTGGGAGGTGTCTGTAGCGTTAAAAGAGCTGGAAGTGCGGTGAGTTTTTTGCCAGATCACCCTTTCTTATGTGAGGAATGGGATGTTCCGACATCTTAAGGTCCGTGGACGCTGCAGGATCGGCCTTTTCACCATGGACTTTGTGGAGGTAGGGTCTTTTATTGTGTACTGTTGGGTGTTGGTGGCAAGGACGAAAAGAACTGGAACCTTTTTGTTTCCGGAAGCTTAGTGAAAGGGGCTGGTGTTGTAACGGCGTTTCTCCGTGGCGCCGATGTCCACGTGGGCTTTGTGGCTGACTCTGCGTCCGGGTGTCGGGACCCTCACGGGGCAGAATCAGGCCACCGTGGAGCGAGGGTTATAGACCGCGTGTTTTTCCTGCAGGGCGACCGCGGCAGGCGCCTCGGGTCCACAGATTTAAGGATCCAGAACCCCGGCCCGCCATGAGGACTGCGCAAACACGACAAAGCTGGGTGAGTTGGGGTCAGCCTGCAGCTTGGAGTCCACGGCTTGTGGACGGATTTCAATGGGATCGTAAGGGAGATCGGCTTGGCTGTTCTGATGATACGAATAATAGGAAGTGCCGTCAGAAGCGATAACTGACGATGTTTATGCTCGTCTGACCGCAGTCGCAGAGATGCAATGATTTAGCTGAATATTACGGCTAGAATCTGCCCTCAATTTCTGTTCTTTTCTCATGTGTTTCAGATATAATATAGAATAATGAAGGGAGCGGCCTTTCATAAGGTAAGCAAGCCCTGGTCTGGGAAGTGATTAATATTTGACGAAATTGTAACTTAGTTGCCTTAAGCATTCAAGTTGGCATTTTAGTTTTGTACATTTAGCTTTATGGAATGTGTCATTGCATGAAGTGGAACTTCAGAAGATGGAGAGGGATGCATTAAGCTGCATCTAGAAACTTGTGTTTTTTTCTTTTTTAACTCGGGGATGCTTTATCATTGAGCTGTATCCCTGACCTTTTTAAATTTTGAGACTAGGTGTAAGTTGCCTAGGCTGGCCTTTGAACTTGGCGTTTCTGCCTCATCCTCCAGCATACTGAGATTACAGGTGTGGGCCACCGGGTCCTCTCTCTTTTTTTTTAAATGTAGTGCTGAGGATTGGACCCAGTGCCTCACACATGCTTAAGTGAGCGCTCTACCACTGAGCCATAACTCCAGCCCCTCCAGTGGGTTTTTAAGGCAATGTTAGTTTTGGTTTTGACAATATACAGGTCTCTGGAGCAATATTGGAGAGTAGTGAGGTATTGACTGCTCTGATGAAACCATTAATAATAGGAAGTGCCGTCAGAAGCGATAACTGACGATAACTATTCCTGGCTGACTGCAGTCAACAAATCTTTACCATTTGTTGGTGCCCAGGATAAAGTTGGTCTGAACTGTGACAATTGCTATATTCACTCAGGTTGCATATTAGCAGAAGGAACACCAGCAGCTGAGTTTTGGAGCCTGGAACATTTGCCTTTTCGTGAGGTAAGCTTTGGCCTCTAGAGAGTATAGTGACCTTTATTGATGATATTCTGGAAATGCTGAGTGGCATGCATAGCCATAGAGGGGTTCTCAGATTACCTCTTGGTGATTTAATAATCTCGAACCAATTTACCTGTCTATTCTGAGGTATAGTATTCCTCATTTGTCAGAAGGAACCATAATCTTAAGTACGTGAGGTTTGAAATGTGACTGAGTAGAGTTACAGCTCCCAGACAAGCTAATTAAGACTTAATGTAATTCAGTAATTTTACAAAAAAAAAAAATCTCTTCTGTAAGGTCTTAAAGGGCTTTTGTTAGGATGGACTTTAAATTGTTACCCGGGCTAAAAGAAATGCCTTTCCTGCTTCTGTGGTCTTTAGGTACTTTGTTTTATCCATTCTCAGGATTTTGGAATGAAGCCCTGAAGTGCAGATTATAGACCTGGTGGCAGCAACCTAAGCTCTGGAGGTAAGCCTTGATCTACATAAAAATTACCTTATTAGTAGAGTAGATAAAGTGGCTAGTTGTTTTAAGTAACTTAAAAGGATATCACATGATGAAATCACCCAAAATAGCTGGAATTACCGGCAGATTGGTAGTGGTGAACCTACGGTTTTCTGAAGATATCATTGCACTTGTGAATGACTGCTGTTAATTGGAGTAGAAAGTAAGATTGAAATTTAGTTTCTTTGCAGGCTGTATCTCCCAGAGGATGATCAGTTCCGGGGATCAGTAACCACCATTGATTTGGATTCTGAAAATCTAAACAGCTTCAACATTTGGAAACATGGTCACCTTGTGTGTCAGGCTGTTCACAAGAGATCATTCAGCAGGCCCGATTGGTTTCATTACCCCACCCAACAGGAATTTCTATACCTTTTAATCATTTTATGTGTACACATTGGTTGCCCTTATATTGGAAGGGTGAGGTCTTTAAGCCAAAAATTGTTTCTCTTGAATATAATGTCTAATACCATAATAAACAATGGTCTTTGGTGATTCTTGAATATGCATATTTGAAAAACAAGTTCAATTTTACTTCAGGTATTAGCACTCATCTTGTAAACTGGTCAGTCTAAGCTGTTTTCCTTTTAACAACTATAGACTTACAGGGAAAAATATCCAAAAGCGTTTAAGGCATTCATACTTGATTCCAGCCAATCCCTGCTGCCCATAGTCTATTTCCTTCCTGGGTATGATCTTTTCTATTTGCCAGGGGTCACTTGTGGCTAATGCTGATCTTGTGAGGCTTTGCTTCCCTATACTTGCTTGCCTCAATATTGTGATTGAATCTAGTTTTGAGAATTCATTTGCTCCCAGTCTCTGGGCATGGGTCTAGGGGTTACTTGGGTTTAAAAGTTGAGTATGGGACAGTGGACCCAGGTGAGTTAGGCTCTTGGTTTCCAGTTTTCTCCTTAACAGCTATCTTGATAACTGCCATAGGCTCACTGGTCCTGGGATTTTAGAAATGCCCTCATAAGTTAGGGGGTTGAAGACAGACCTTCAAGTGATAGGCAAGTGCTCTGCTATTGAGCAAACATCCTTTGCTGTCCTCAAATTTGTAATTCCTCAGCCTGTGAATAACAGGCTGGCTAAGGATCAAGATTTCTGATGGGTTTTCCCATGCATGCCTGTGTGCATAGGCACTTGTCACCACAGGATGCTCTAAATATTTCAAGGTGTGGTGAGAGCTGGTTTTAGGAGCAGGTCCCTGGACCTGGAAGCTAAAATGTGGGAAGTCAGTTCCAAGCCTGAGACCAAGCAAGAAGAGCACCTTCCTTAAGTCCATGCTTAGCATAGCTAAGAACTAGGCTCCAACCTCATTAAGTTGGACTTAACATCGGGTGGAATTTGCTTCCCCATGTAGGACAAGGGTAATACAGAACTGGGATGGCAGGAGCCTGTCTGCTGTTTGGAGGAAAGCTCTTGGTAACATTGGCTCAAGCTTCATCATCTCCAAACCTATGCTTTTCCAAAATCTGAGGAAGCCAAGGACTGAGTTGTGGGGTACCTGGAGCCCCTTGAGCTAGGGGTGAGTTATTGGGAGCCAGAAGGCAGATGCTGGGATTTATAGGAGAGATGGAAAGGACCAAAGGGAAGTAGTGCACTAATCCCTCTTTCCCAGGTACTAGAGTCTGCTCTTCTGGGGGGGTGGGGAGGCTGCTGTAGCCCCAGCCTCCTGATGGGAGGAGCCCCTAATTTGCCTCAGCCATCCTGCTCTATAGACTCCCTGGTGAGGCTTACCACTTACATGTCATGTCTGAGTCACAGCCTCTTTGCCCTCATGGTGGTCTTTGGCAGGTGACACAGGGCCCCCTCCAGGGTCCTCCTGGCCCAATGTCCCTTCCCGAATCTCCTCCCCACTGCCTGGCCCCTCACCCAGTTCCAGGATGGTGGGTAGGTGGCCCTGTTTGGGAGACCGCTTGCGCAGGCTGAGCAGGAAGGGCTGGGGCAAAGAGAAGATGTCCACATTGTTGCCCAGATCTATCCATGTGACATTGGGGAACTTGCTGGGGTCCTTCAGGGTGTCAGTAAGGTCACGCAGCAAAGCCCGGGTCAGCCGATTGCCATTGAGGGCTAGTGTGGTGAGGCGGGGCAGGGTGCTGAGTGCTGGCAGCAGTTGCAGGACCATGTCATCTGTGAGGCCTGTGAAGCCCAGCTCTACGCTGTCTACTTGCTCCCCACAGCGCTGCAGGTAGTTGGTCACTCGTTCCAGGTCACGGGAGGTCAGTGGGATGCCAGACAGGTCCACTGTGTTGTCTGGAGGGTTCCCAGCCAGGACGGCCTTGAGGCTTAAAAGGAAGGGACAACAAGTGAAGCAGACTTCCTTGAGAGGCAGAAACAGCCACCACTGTGGAGCCAGCCTCTGCTTAGCTAATTCTAGGGATCATTTTCACAAACTTGCAGATAAATTACAAACACAGAACTAGGGACATCCTGTGTCCTGGCATTGTTGCATATCTCTAGCAGGCTGGGTGGAGTGGTCTGAGGCTGCCATTTCTGCAGGACCACAAGGGAAAGTTTCAGGCTTCCATACAATATTCGTGTTTGCATCTTCAGTCGCCTTTAAGTTACTTAACCTTTTAGGCCTCAGTTACTTCAAAAATGGAGCTAAGAGATAGGGTTGTTAAGTGGAATAACAAATGCAAAGCATTTAATGATGCTTTTGTAAGGGAATGATGGATAAATGTTTGCTTCTGAAATTATTGGTCACTTGGGCTGAGCTTCTTTTCTCACCACTCTTGGTTGGTAGTTGAGCTGACCCAAGAATGGCACAAAGTTCCTCTGAGGTCCCATCTTCTCCACCAGTTGGGAGATGCTCTGGCAGAGGCCTGCAGGACCGTAGGCAGAGGAAGCACAGGGGCTCCAAATCTGGTGGCAGCTGCTGCCTCCTGGAGGCTCAGTGCTCTCTATTTCCACTCCTTGTCAGCTATTGCTTTTTGTCCTCTTTGTTGCCCTGCTCCGTGTTCTGGAGCCAGAGCCCAGGCTGCTCAGCCTGATGAGGAGTGTGCCCTTCCCACCATCCATCTCATTGTGGCTGGCTTCAAGGCTCAGGCACAGTGGTGAGATGCTCGTTTTTTTAAATTTCCAAGTGCCCAGGCAAGCCCTGAGTCCCAACCCTGGGAAGGAAAGGGAGGTGGAAGGGGCTCACAGCTTGCTCTGTGAGCATGTTAATACCAGCATCTCAGGGGTCACAGATTTCCTGGCAAAACCAGGTAATTTCCTATTCTTAGGGTCTCCTGAAGGTGGGAGATTGGTCATAGCTGGCTCATTTTGCTGCTTCTGATTAGGGGCTAGCCCAAGGAGCTTGGAGGTAAAGCTCTCAAGGCATGAGGCTTAACTGCCTGGAATAATGCCTGGCATTTGTTCATGACTTCTTTTATCAATGTTAGTAACAAAGGAGACACATCATACCAGGGAAACAAGGGTGGTGAACATCTCTGCACTGGAGTCAAACCTGAGTTTGAATCTGGCCCCGCTAATTACCAGCTGTGAAATCCTGGCCAGTCAAATGGTAACAGTGACAAGTCCTACCTCATTCATTCCTTTAACAGATGTTTATTAAGCTCCTACTATGTGCCAGTATCGTTCTAGGTACTGGGATCACAATGGTGAACAAGATGGGCAAGATTCCTTC